TTTGAACCTCCACCATGTTTGACTGTAGAGACTGTGTTCTTTTCTTTGAATGCCTCATTTCTTTTTCTGTAAACAGTGCCATGATGTACCTTGACCAAAAACTCTACTTTTGTCTCATCTGTCCACAGTACGTTCTCCCAGAAAGATTGTGGTTTTGTCACATAAGTTTTGGCATACTCCAGTCTTGCTTTTTTATGCCTTTGTGTCAGCAGTGGTGTCCTCCTGGGTCTCCTCCTTTTCATTCAGATGGCAACGGATAGTGTGAGCTGACACTGTTGCACCCTGTGTCTGCAGATCAGCTTGAATTTGTTGGGAAGTTAATCTGGGTTCTGTCTCCACCATTCAAGCAACCCTTCGTTGTAATTTTTCAGTCATTTTTGCTCTCCCATCCACGTCCAGGGAGGCCCAGTGCCATAGGCTGTAAACTTCTTGATGATATTGCACACAGTGGACACAGGAACATTAAGATCTCTGGAGATGTAGCCTTGAAATTGTCAATGTTTTTCCACCATTTTTTCTCTCAAATCCACAGACAACTTTTTACACTTCATTCTTTTCTCCATGCTCAGTGTCAGACACAACACAAAGGTTGAGTCAACTTTTCTCCATCTTAACTGGTTGCAAGTGTGATTACTGTATTGCCCATACCTCTTACTTGTGACAGGTGTGTCTAAATACAAATTAAAAGAGCATCACATGCTTGAAAAGCAATTATTTCTTACAATTTAGACAGGGTGCCAATAATTTTGGCCAGTGCATTTTTTGATTTCTGTGTGGGATTGTACCAGATCTGACTTTTTCTCTCTGTTTTTTTGTGTTGTTCCAATGCACTGACTTTTTTTCTCTGTTTTTTGTGTTCTTCCAATGCAAACCAAAGAAATGAACATGTGAGTACCAAAACATTTGCAACTGCAACAATTTTCTGAGAGAAAGGCTACATTTTCTGACAGAATTACAAGGGTGCCAATATTTTTGGCCATGACTGTATGACCCAGGGTAATTAGAATATAAATTCCACTCAAGAAACAGGTCCACTGATTTTCATTAATACATGCTGCAAATTGAGACAGGGTGTGAAACTGTGATCAAGAAAGAACCTAGGATTGAACTAAGCAGATGAGTTTTTTTAAATGAGTAGGGTTACTAGGGCCAAAAAAATGTGTGGCTTTAAAAGTAACTTTCACTTTCTGTTGTATAAATGAATACGTAGTTGCTTTTTAATCCTCCTTGAGGAGAAATAAAGTAGGGTTTATGGGAAAATCAGTTACCTTACAGCAAAATGTGTCTTCATTCTCTATAATCAAGTATCTTGCCTTCACTAGCAGAGATTACCAGAGAGAGGAGAAATAAAGTAGGGTTTATGGAAAAATCAGTTGCCTTACAGCAAAATGTGTCTGTCTTCATTCTCTATAATCAAGTGTCTTGCCTTCACTAGCAGAGATTACCAGAGATATGTATTGTTTCTGTGTGTGCAGAGCACAGAGACACATTTTTCAGTTCTGTTTGTAGATTTTGCTATCTGCATTATTACATTCACAATACACTTTTTGCTAGTGCAGAATCCTGTGTTTAAAACATCTGTGTGATTAGTGTGGAAAGAGAGCTTCAAATCTGTATGTATTACACCTAATTAGAAATGTAATTAACTAAATTTTTCTGATGAAATTATATTGAGTTCTGAAATTGCTTCTAAAATAAACCTTAGTGTATTGAAACTCTGTTTCTTATACTGTGGTAAAGATGTTGTCCTAAAGAAATAGATTGTAATTGACATAATTAGCAGTGTATTATTTTGCCTGACTTATGTTAATTCCATTGTGACTTCATATTTCTCACCATTGGCACCCATTTTCCCCCTATTATATTGGTGTCTGTGTTTGTGCATTGTCTTATTATTCTTATATAAAATTCACTAAGTAGCTCTTAAGATAATGTCTTGTGTGTAACATACAGATGTAAGTTTTCGTGTGTGACATCTACCTGCACATTTCCAAAATCAGCATCTTTTGTAATATTATTCATGGGAAGGAAAACCTTGAAAATTGCAAAAACATATTGGATTGTACATGTGGGATCAAATTTCCAAGGGCAGAAGGGCTCAGCTCATGGGAGGAGTATGAATTCCACCTGAATATTGGGCTAGTACCCCTTTGCATCACTGCTCCATTCATCAAGGTTCCTTCCAATTGTAGCGTTTTCATGGAGCTGCAGAGGCTGCTTTAGGAAGAAGGGGCAGAGAAGCCTCCTCTGACATGTATCTAAATCAGAATCCAAGCCAGTGGATCCAAAAAGCACATAACCAGATCTCACATTTGTCTGTTAATTTTGTTTTCAAAGCTGTACTGTACTAAGGAATAAGCACCATTGAATACAGTGGGGCATACTTTCAGGTAATTAGAAGTTTGTACCTAATGAGCCATATGGCAGTTTCTGGAGCCAGTTTACACAGGAAAATATGGAGCAGAAAGGCCATTGGCCCCTTCTCCCTTAATAGTGCAGTCCTATTCTAATGGATTGGATGGATTGTATTTGCCTTTTAAAACATACAAAGAGACAAGACAGCTAATCACTGCCCTCTAACATTTTGTGGAAGTAAGGACAAAGAGGCTTCCACTAGTCTAGAGAGTATTTGACATTTTTATTTTGAATTGCTGGCATATACAGTACCCCATGACACATTGCCAACTGCTTAGGAAGTTTCATTTGAAAAATGGGTTGTCAAGTAGTATGAGTTGTTGTTCAAACTGAACAATTAAAATCACCTGCAGCCTCACAGAACTAGCTTCATAGTTATTTGGTTTCTGCTGTTTCTGTAGTTTGTATTGGAAGTAATGAGCCACATTGTTATTAGAAAACATACTACACAATACAGAGATACTTTGCATACACCGTTTGGATGACCCAAGATAGTGTTACTTATGTTGCCTACCCTTTCAACTTTATGTATTTATTGCAGGGATACCAGATACTCCGTTTAGCAAAGATAGAGATGGCCATGTCAAGCGTCCTATGAATGCATTTATGGTATGGGCAAGAATTCATCGGCCAGCTTTAGCCAAAGCTAATCCTGCTGCCAATAATGCAGAGATAAGTGTACAGCTTGGATTGGAGTGGAACAAACTCACAGAAGAGCAAAAGAAACCCTATTATGATGAAGCTCAGAAAATTAAAGAAAAACACAGAGAAGAATTTCCTGGTACAAATACAGTAGATAGTTTACATGTTTCTCAGTACTGTACCTGATTGGCTTGATAGAATGCTTTATGTAATCCCAAAGTAGGGTAATAAGTTGAAATAGGATGGTCAAGTAGATTCATTTGACAAGTAGAGTATTGAACAAAAAGTGCAAGATATCAGTATGAAAGCACAATGAGACAAATTTTGTTAAATAATCTATTTTACCATTCTCTATCTATCCCACTGTGTAGTGATTTTTTAAAAAATGTGGCAGTGCTGTAGAAGGAGCAGTTTCAAGGACTTGTACTATATAAGCTCATTTATTTCTATAGTCTGAATTCTACACCTTCTACAGGGTAAATAGAAAACTATAGAATTACTTAAAGCCAAAAATCATCTGCAGTCATTAACTGAGTACAAGAACAGCTTAATTTGAATAAATGATTCTATAAGCACATAGACTTTAAGCTGCAGCTACCTGGTCACCTGGGAAATTCTAGTAAAATCAAAATAATTGAATGAATGCAGCTATATACATAGATTGGTGCAACTATACGCAGTTAGTATTGGGAATGGTTCCCTCACCAATTCAAGTGAGATATATTCAGGATTGTGGATTTAAGACTTGAATGGGGTATTTGTTTTGCAACTATGCATTTCCACTAATGTTTATTAATGGGCTAAATATGGGAAAAATTAATTTTAGTTAATAGAAACCATGTTTAAACATAAACATTTTCTCTGTAATGTACCTCAGGAAAACTATTTACTGCTGCTAATATTTCTGATCTTAAATGTATGTCATCTTTTCTCACATTCTTCCTTTTGTTTAGTTGGACCTGTATAAATTCCCAAATGTTGCATGAGATGAGACTTCGTTTCAAGCAACATTGTTCCTTTTTTTCTTCCTAACTGTGTGGTCGTTCAGATGTGATCCAGATGGTATCCTCCAACCCTCCAGATGGTATCCTCCAGCTCTCCAACCTTTCCAGGGAAGGGAATTCTGTCCAGCAGTGGTGTCTGTTCTGCTGGCAGAAGTAACCTCTGATAGTTAACCCAATGTAACCACCAGAAAATGCATACTTGTGTTTTCTATACATTTAAACAACTTGCAGCCTGCAAAGCCAAATTCTAGACATTTCACACGAAAAGAATGAATAACACAGATATTACTTGATACATTTTTAAAGGGAAATATATAGGCACGGTATATACAGTAGCTCATTAAAACATTGGAAGTCTGGAACAATGTCTTATTTGCAAACATTTTGCAGGCATAAAAGGAAGCAGGCATACAGCAGCATATACAGTATCCATCAGGAAGAAGACATTTTAAGGAATGATGCCTTCCCTTCTATTAGAGCCTGTAGCCTTCCTAAATGTACTACATTCATAATGGCTTTTCATTTTGCAAATAACGGCTTGATGTTTAGCCTCTCATTTCTGCCAAGAAAATTTCTGTCAATGTTATAATTGCCTTCCTTTGCATTGCAATTAATATTTTATCAATATTAATAGCAGAAAGGATATTTCTTTTCTTAAGGAAGCATAAAAACAATTGCATATTGTTTTTCGATGAGTATATTCTTTTATATTCCCACAGGTTGGGTTTATCAACCACGGCCTGGCAAAAGGAAACGGTTCCCACTGACAGTCTCCACTGTATTCTCGGGCACTACTCAGAATATAATTGCTACAAGCCCTATGACAGCCTCCACCGTATTTACTGGAACAACACAGAATATTATTACTACAAATCCAACAACTATTTACCCTTTCCGTTCACCCACATACTCTGTGGTTATACCAAGCATACAGAACAGCATTGGACACCCAGTCTGTGAGTTCATTCCAATAGTTTATGTGAGTTCTTTAAATGATAGACACTACAAGAGCCCAATGTTTACAAAATGCTTATTGCACACATATAAGGATGTTTAAAGCACCTATCAGTTATTGCAAGTAGAAGCAGCAACTCATTAGCAAAGCCTACTTAGACAATGAATTTAGTGGTAAAATGGAGCAGTGCTTTTGCAATTGACTACTTATTTAAGGTGATGGTGGTGGTGATAGTGTACAGAATCCTTAAGCACCTTCAAAGCAAAGTTTGGTTCTTATTATCAGTAAAATTATCATCAGGTTTGAGGAGAGAAGGAAGTTCAAGGATCTTCTCTCCCTGCCACTCCGTCACTGTATCCGTGACTGACATCATGCAGAGCAAAGGAAAGGAACAGTTCTGATTTATTATTTTCGCTACATTTACCTCCTGATGACCCATCACAAAACAAAGCAAGTTACTTTGCAATACATGGGAAAATCTTGTTTTATTTATTTATTTATTTGTTTGTTTGTTTGTTTGTTTGTTTATTTATTTATTTATTTATTTATATTTTAAAAAAATTTTTATTTTATATCCCACCTATCTGGTCGGTTAAGATCACTCTAGGTGGCTATTACAATAAACAGATCTCTTTCGGTGCTTAGGAAAGCATCTTGTCTGCTGTTCAGCCTGATTCAAGCACCTCTAGCCGACCCAGTTCTGCTCACCCTTCACTTTTCCTGTTGGGAAATATACACTGAAAGCAGAGGGTTCAGGTACTGCCACTTGGAACCCCATTGGTCTTTTGAGGTGGCATCTCCTAACAGAGGTTGTCTTCCTTCCCCCTTGCCTTTCCTGGCAGAAAAAGTGAGGAAGGAACAAAGACTTGACAATTACCATTCCAGGGCAGTTCTGAGGCAGTGGCTTCTGGCTGAGTTAGATTCCCTGTTCCCCCAACCTTTTCTGAGGGTTGGGGCTTTAGGGAACTGGGGTGAAAGATGCTGGGAAGGGTGGTAGATGGGGAGGGCTTCACAGGCCTCATTGTCCAATGGTCTGTAGGCAGCGTGCTGCTGTGCTGTTGTGAAGTATGGAATTCACCAAAGGAAGAAAGAAGGAGATATCCAATCTCCACTTGGTAATTTTTCTTATCAAGTGGGCAATGCCAGTCTGATGGTTGTTGTTTTGTTATGTATCATCAAGTCATCTCTGACTCATGGCAACACTATGAATGAGTACTCTTTAAAAATTTCCTATCCTCAGCTGCCCTGCTCAGCTGTTGCAAACTCAGGCCTGTGGTATCTTTTTGGGAGTCAGTCGATCTCAAGTTTGGTCTTCTTCTTTTCCTGTTTAACTTCCACCTTTCCCAGCATTGTATTTTCCAGAAAATCCAGCTTTCTCATGATGTGCCCAATGTAGGACAGTAGGATTTGGTGAAGTTCTCAGTACGTTTCATTGATTCAGTGGGCTTACTCTAGTTGTGACTTATTAATGGGTCGCAGCCACTATTTTCCATCTATAACAGTGGTTTTAACACTGTGCGTTTGTCATAATTTACAAACAGTTTTGACATGGGTAGTCAAAACTTGCCAGTCAGCTGTAGGCATTGCAGCTTAGCACATATTTACTATTCCCTTTGCTTGGTTTTTACCAGCAGCTTAGATATTTCAAGTAATGCTACTTTGTCAGTGATATTTTAAACCTTTTAAAATAGAAAAATACTGCTTAATCGAAAGAATATTGTAATATTATACTATAATGGAATATATTTACACTTATATATGGATTTTTTTTAAAAAAAACCACTACATTTTAGACACTACCATTTTTAACAAGGTAGCCGATGCTGTTAGCCAAAAAGAGCTAATTCTTTAAATAGTCTTATAGGGGTTTAGCACTCTACTCATGTGCTACAATACTTTTTGTTGTTCTCAAAAATCATTTTAAAATACCTTTTTGTATCTCTCATACTAGCCATCTGGCTGATGGTGAATGGAAAGGGATACAGCACTATGGCACTTTTCAAATTGTGTTGCAACTTTTATTGCAGTTTTCTATTAATACTATGCCTGGAAAATGCTTTAACAACAATTTTAAAAAATTAAATAAAATTGTGACACCTCCCACAAAGGTTATACTACATTTATGTTGAGCTGTGACAGGTTCACCCACCTGATATGTCACTGGTGATGTCAAATTCACACCACTGTTAAAAATATAGAAAAGTAGCATTAAGGGCATATGGAGACCAAAGCAAAAGCAAAGCGTGCTGCTTATATACCGCCCCATAGTGCTTCAATCACTCTCTGGGTGGTTTACAATTTAATAAAGATATAGAAAAGTAGCACTAAGGGCATATCCACACATGGAGACCATTCAAATGGATGACAATATACAATTTCATATGTGAGTGAATCAATAGTGGTTACACAATAAGTCCTCATCTGGAAGGAACCTTTGTTATGAAAGAGTTAAATGGGGCACAGGGGAGAGTCAGACAGAATATTGATTTAATATTATGATATTTTGCAGGTAAGGGCCTGAGAGACTTGCCAACAAACTGCTGAGAAATCTGTGGCTCACATGATCAGAGTTCATATTTTGCGCAGTGGATGATAATATACAATTTCATATGTGAGTGAATCAATAGTGGTTACACAATAAGTCCTCATCTGGAAGGAACCTTTGTTATGAAAGAGTTAAATGGGGCACAGGGGAGAGTCAGACAGAATATTGATTTACTATTATGATATTTTGCAGGTAAGGGCCTAAGAGACTTGCCAACAAACCTCTGAGAAATCTGTGGCTCACATGATCAGAGTTCATATTTTGCATATTGGACTTTGTTAGAATGTATACCCAATGGGACAGATAAACTGAGGATATATTACATAAAGATGGATTCTTTAAAATACTAAATACTCACTATTGCTCTTAGATGGTTTTTGAAACAGCATGTATATAGAGGTTTTATGCTGGCATGTATAGGAATTAATTGAAAACTACCCTGTTTCCCAGAAAATAAGCCCTAACCTTAAATTAAGCCCTAGTATGATTTTTCAGGATGCTCGTAATATAAGCCCTACTCCAAAAATAAGCCCCAGTTAAGTGAAACCCTGCCCTCCACCATTGTGCAGCAACCAGAAGCAGATGATGTGACTGCATTTGAATAAATGTTGATTGTTGTACACGGAAAAAAAATCCCCTGGAAATAAGCCCTAATGTGTTTTTGGAGCAAAAAATACAAGATCCTGTCTTATTTTCAGGGGGAAATGATATATTTGGAGTTGTTGATACAGATATTTTTTAAGGCAGAAGAAATTTGAGCTGTTCAGCTTAAAGAATTATGAAGGATTATACTTACTGGAGTTGTTGATACCGATATTTTTAAAGGCAGAAGAAATTTGAGCTGTTCAACTTAAAGAATTATGAAGGATTATACTTACTTTATATGAAATGTTTAAAATTTATTATACAGGTATAGTCATATGTACATAGTTATAAAGTACAGTTTGAATGTAGCCATACAAAAATTCAGTTCAAAATCATGTGCAAAACATACTACAAATATCAAAAACATAAAATAAGGTTTTATTATGTTGTGATATAATGTAGATTTGCAAACTAATTTTAGAAAACTATGTTTTTCCCAAGAGAAATAAAATAAATATTATTTTTAAAATACTGTTAGTGGGGAATTCTTATTTATGACTGATGATTTCTCTTCTCCAAAGGTGAAGCACCTTCTACTATCCAGCTGCCAGCTCCTTCTCCTCAGCATCCAGGCCCTATTACGCTGTTCCAGCCAAATGTAGGAAGCACAACACCATTGGCAACACCAGGTGGAAACCTACCAATTCACCCAGTCCTTCAGCCTCAACGTTTTGCTGCACCTTCTCCAACAGAAGCTCACCATGTTTCTTCAGGAACAAATTGCTCTGTAAAGAGACCTACTCAGATTTCCATTGAGACTGCAAGCAGGAACCCGAATAATACGAGCACCACACACTCGAGATACAGTGTGTCAAGCAGTCAAACACCTAAGGACTACTCAGGTGTTTCTCCTTGTTCTAGAAATGGACCCATTCCCCAAGCACCACCTATCCCCCATCCACACGTTTATCAGCCTCCTCCCATCAGTCATCCAGCCACCTTGTTTGGAGCTCCTCCTCGATTTTCATTTCATCATCCTTACTTTTTACCTGGACCCCATTATTTCCCATCAAGGTAATACAACTATTTACATGCACTCTAAAGTAAAGGTACCTAGCTACCCTATTTCCCTGAAAATAAGACCTAACCTGAAAAGAAGCCCTAGTATGATTTTTCAGGATGCTCCTAATATAAGCCCTACTCCCAAAATAAGCCCCAGTTAAGTGAAACCCCGCCCTCCACCATTGTGCAGCAATCATAAGAAGATAACATAACTGTATTTGAATATATTTACAGTAGTTTGCTGTACATTAAAAAAATCCCCTGAAAATAAGCCCTAATGCGTTTTTGGAGCAAAAAATAATATAAGACCCTGTCTTATTTTTGGGGAAGCACGGTACTTAGGCAACCACCATCTGCAGACTTTTACCAATCAAAGAGTGACAACATCTAGCGTGGAGTTCCATACAGTCTTTCTTTCTGACCCCTTCTGATTCCTCTTATTCCTATACTCCTTATTTCATTCTCCACTAAAACTATTTTTGCTGGAACTGTTTCTACCAAACTTTGTAGAGAGCAAAGGACTTTCTAAGGATTTCTTAGAAAACCTTATTCACTCTTTTAAATCTGTTTTTCTTCTTCATGGCCTCTGTGAATCACACCCTGGGTATTCTGCGCATGCGTGGAGCCTCGTTGGAAGATTCTAGAGCTTCTGTGGTAACAAACCCACTAGTGTATACCCCTCCCCCTCTGTATATGTACCTTGTCACCAGGACTCTCCCTTCAGTTTCTTTCAACTGCCATGTTGAGAGCCTCATATTCGTTGCTTCTGTGAATCTAAAAGCAAAAGAGAATTTAATCTTGACTCCTTTTAATTTTCTTTAAACCTTTATACTGTATTTATTTAAAAAACAGATTTCTTTTGTTCTGGCCTCAGGGCCAAATGCCCCCTCCATTTTTCCTTATTTTATCCATATTTCATTGCCTCCTTGGGCCTATTTAAACATTGCGTGTTCTGTGACAATAAGATTCTACTTTTGGATGGCCAAACTTTGTTCTGTCTTGGTGAGGCTCACCAAACCTCCTTGTGCCCACACTGTAAGAACTTCAAGAGCGGAGATCTCCGCAGCCGCCTTTCTCGGCTTAAGCTTTGGCTTTGGGAACAATCCCTTCAACCTGCAAAAGTTGTGGCTCAGCCTGCTTGTAAAACCACCTCATAAGCTAAGCTAACTCAATTCTGTTACATCCCTCTGCCAGTGCACATTATCACATCTCCATCACAAATCCTGCAGGACAAGATACTGACCCTACTTTTCAAGGACACTCTAGAATTTATTTATTTATTTATTTATTGTATTTATATCCCGCCTATCTAGTCAATTATGACCACTCTAGGTGGCGAACCAGTAGAACCAGTATACTAAACTGACGGGGTTTCTCTCTCTCGTTATTTCACTGTCCCTAAACGGGACAGAGGTCTGCATCCCATTCTTGACCTCAGAGACCTAAATCGTGACATCATTACCACCAAATTTCATCTGGTAACCCTCAAATCCGTCCTTCCCCTGCTTTGGAAAAACTACTGGTTTGCAGTCATAGAGTTAACAGATGCTTACTTCCATGTATCCGTCCATCCCTCTCACAGGCCTTACCTCTGCTTCCAGCTCAGAACTCAAGCCTACCAATTCAAAAGACTCCCATTTGGACTCACAGCAGCTCCCAAAGTCTTCACCAAATGGATGGCACCTGTGGCAGCTTACCTCAGACTTCACAAGATCCACATCTTTCTATACATTGACAACTGGCTCCTTGTAGTTCCCTCCGGTCGCAGGTCACAACGAGACATCCACTTTACACTGTCTCTTCTTCACGATCTCGGCCTTACTGTAAATATACAAAAGTCCAAGCTGCAGCCCACAAAGGTTGTTCAATACATGGGGCACTCATAGACTCTGTGCATGCCTGAGCATTCCTTCCAGCAGACAAGCGATACAACCTGATGTCCTTGCTTCATGTCTTCACCCCTCATGCGCTTATATCTGCACAGTTCAAGGTGTCTTAGGCACTATGGCATCCATGACGTCTGTAGTGCAACACCAACGCCTCAAAATGGGATCGCTCCAGGCATGAATCCTTGCCCTCTTCAACCCACTAACAGACCCTCCTCACACTCTGTTAAGGGTCACTTCAGAACTCGCCACCCAACTTTCTTGGTGGTGCTCTACTCAAAATCTTACAATGGGACAACCTTTCCAACAACCACGTCCTCAGATGCAAGTCACTGCCAACGCAAGCCTCACAGGTTGGAGTGCTCACTGCAAATCCCTAAAACTTCATGCCCAGTGGTCAGTAGGGATTAATTGCTCCACATCAACGGACTAGAGCTGTTAGCAGTGGTAAAAGCATGTGAGGTTTTCAGAGACTATCTTGCAGGCAAGATGGTGCAAATCGCTACCAACAACACTATGGCAATGTATTATATTCTCAAGGAAGAAGCACCCGCTCTCCAAGCCTCCTGTATCTCGCACTGTATCACCACTGGGAATGGTGTCTGTCACATCATATCTGCCTCACAGCATTACACATAGCCGGCCAAGACAACAACCTGGCAGATCTCAGTCGCAAGGAATCCCAAGCTCACGAATGGGAGCTAGACCAGTCTGCCTTTCTCCTTCTCTGCAAACTCTGGGGCATGCCCACCATCAATCTCTTTGCCTCCTGGACAAATCGGAAGTGCAAATATTACTGCTCCCGTGCAAGAGTCGGAAGCACTCACATGGAGATGCATTCATAGGCTGATGGCCCAGGACCCTTGCTTACTGGTTCCCACCATTTTCGCTCCACCAAAGTAGTAGTTTGGCTGCAACAGGACAAACCTGATAGCTCCATGGTGCCCGTGACAGCCCTGGTTCCTGGTTCTACACAATCTGTCATCAGACATCCGCCATCTGCCCTGCCTGCCTCACCTGCTCACACAAAACAAAACTCATATTCTCCACCTGGACCTCCCTACTCTGCACCTGGCAACGTGGAGGATTCTACTTCCCTGATGAATGTCCTCCACCAGGCAAAGAAACCCTAAACTAGGAGAGCTTATCTGTACAAGTGGAAAAAATTCCAGTCCTTTACTGAAGCCTCTACCTTACCTTCAGTTAATACCTCTTTCTCCACCGTGCTTCATCTTAAAGCCAAGGGCCTTTCCCTTTCTTCCTTGAGGATTTTCCTCTCTGCAATCATTTCCTATCAACCACCGAACTCCCCAGCAGCTCAGAGACCCTACTCTGAAGTGTTTCCTGAAGGGCTTATCACACATGTATCCAGATGTGTGTCCACCTTCACCTCAACAGTCTTTAACAATAGTCCTGCAGCAACTCACCAAGGCCCCATTTGAGCTGTTAGCTTCGGTTGATATTAGGCTTACTTACCTTCAAGCATTCCTCGTTGCTATCACATCTGCTTGTTGTGCCAGTGAACTTGCAGCCTTGCGTCATGATTATCCTTATCTCCAGTTTTATCCAGATAAGGTCAAATTGTTTGTAAATATTTCTTTTCTCCCCAAGGTTGTTTCCCAGTTTCATATGTCCCAACCATTGGTTCTCCCATCCTTTTTTTCATCTCCATCTACTGCTCAAGAAAAAGAATCCTCCATACTCTGGATGTCAGATGGGCCCTAGCATTTTATTTAGCCCGCACACAACCCTTCCAACATTCAGCTTGACTTTTTGTCAGCTCCCAGCTCCCTACAAAGGGTTTGCAGGTGACATCACAAAGAATCTCCAAATGGGTTGTTCCTACCATCCACCTGGCATACCAGTTTGCTCGCAGTCCAGCTCCTCAGGTGATTTGCCCTCACTCCACCAGGGCAGTGTCAGCTTCCACAGCATTTCTTCACGGCATTTCTCTTCTGGACATCTGCACCTCTGCCACCTGATCACAGCCATCCACATTCATCAAGCACCATAGATTAGATGTTTGGCAAAAATCTGATGTGACCTTTGGACGTGCTGTGCTAACTTCTACCTTGGCGTGACACCCTCCTCCGGGTAAGACAGCTTGTTAGTCACCCAGAGTGTGTTTCACAGAGGCCACGAAGAAGAATGACAGGTTACTGACTTGTAATTGTAGTTATTCTAGTGGACCTCTGTGAATCACACATCCCGACCCAACCTCCCCACTGTCACACCATGCAGCTCTAATATGCGGCGATTGACATAACTGAAGGGAGAGCCCTGGCACTAAGGTACATATACAGAGAGGGAGGGGTCTACACTAATGTATTTCTTTTGCTACCGCAGAAGCTCTAGAATCTTCTGACAAGGCTCCGCGCAGGCGCAGAATACTCTGGGTGTTAATCACAGAGGTCTACTCTAAGAACTACTGTTACAGGTGAGTAACCTGTTGTTTTCTTGACCTTGTTTTTATACTTTTTTCCTCATTCCACCTTTTTCCTTGAAGATAAGTTTCTCTTCTGTCTTTGAGCACTTCTGTGTCTCCTTGGCTACTGCGTACAAGGTCTCAAAGGCCTACAGGATGAGCATCATAAAAAGGAACGGATTAAAATTTAGGAAGGAGTCGATTGGGATGAGGAACATTTGGCCCTGTAGATGTTGAGACTGTAGCTCCCTTCAGTCTTAAGCAACATAGTCAGTAGACTCTAAAACATCTGGAGTCTACATGCTTTTTCTCAGGGGAGTAGATTAACCTGATCTAGTCACCTGCACCATCTTCCCAAGAAAGGATTATCAGACTGTTTGGGAGCATTTGTTGCAATATTGCAGTGCAATCTTTGTGGGACTGCCATACAAGACTGATGCAACTGATCCAAAACATGGCTTACTAGCGGTTAACTCAAATGGCCCATAGGAAATCCAATTATTGCATAACAATAATTTTAATGAGTATGAGTAAGGTTTCAAGTGCAGTTTGATGTTTCGTTTTTAGTTTTAAGGCCTTAGAAAGGTTGTTGTCACAGAGTATTTTCTTACTGAATTCATGCCTTGGCTTTCAACACATCACCCTCAAGACAGCTTGGAACAATTAGTAAAGTGAAATAAAATATAAACAACCAAAATCAGTATTAAACTCAGAAGGAGAAAAAACACAGTGATAGCAGATAAGTGTACCAACAGATAAATGTACAGTAGGATCCCATATCCAATGGGGATTGGTTCCAAGCCCCCCTATGGATACCAAAAATCATGAATAATCACACACTAGTTCTGGTAATGCATGTGAAAATAATTTTTTCCTTTTACCGTGCTCGTGCTCGTTCTCTCTCTCTCTCTCTCTCTCTCTCTCTCTCTATCTGTCTGTCTGTCTGTCTATCTATCTGTCGATCGGTCTATCTATCTATCTATCTATCTATCTATCTATCTATCTATCTATCTATCTATCTATCTATCTATCTATCTATCTATCTATCTATCTATCTATCTATCTATCTATCTATCTATCTATCTATCT